GCTCATTAAAACATTGAACTACATTGTAAGTGGGGGTTTCCACTGTATCGTGTCGTTTTTTTAGGCACTGGTTGCCGGCATCCCAATATCCTGGTTACCCACCGCTTCCTCAACTCTATCCAAGCTACGCTTATCCTCCTTTCCCTTATTATCCTCCTCCTCCACCACCACCGCCTCCACCACTACCAGTTCTCCCGCATCCCAGTTACATGGCCCCACCACCAGTGCTGATTGACCCCTGGACATACAGACGCCATCACATACCACGGCAGTATCGACGGCACAAATCTCGGAAGCTCAGCAAGCATCATCAGAGATCTACAACTTGCAGACATAAGTTGAAAAAGGAACCGAAGCTGTGCAAAGAATTTGAAATCACTGCCGATCAGGGTTGGGAGCAAAATAGACTGCACAATGAAGATAGCAGTTAGTTGTCCAAGATAAACACTTATGCATTCTGAGGCTTCTTCTCTAATATTTTTCAGAAGATTTAAGGGTATTGAAATTCATTAATGGATGCAATTTTGAGTAAGTGGCTAGTGATGAAATTTTCTACTTTGCGTATTTATTAGCGCTTAGTATCCGAACTTCGAAAGTCTTTCCTGGACCATCGGTAGTCAACAGTGCGCCGTTAGCGCGCCTTGCTCAGATTGCCACGCCAACCGCTTCCGATGTGCCAATGCAGCCTCTTCAAAGCTCCCTTCCTCGTCCACTCTCCCCTTTGCATCAGTCGAACAACGTACCAAGGGGAATTTACGCTCTACCAGAAACAGGTGGGCCCTTTTTTGATCCGTTCAAGGGTCACAGCCTCCCAAACGAACCGTCAGGCCTTGTTGAAACACGACTGGCTACTGCTTCACCACCCACAAAGATTGATCCATCACCCTCAGCCGCATTCTCTAGTGCTGTATATGGCACAAACAAAATCCACTCCATGCGTGACAATCAACCAAGATCATCAACTGTTGCTCGGATGCCTTCGTGCTCAGCATCAATGGTCAGCTAATATACACATTCGCGGCTCGCGTAGAAACGTTTTTCGCATTGAGAGACCATCCTCCTTTCAACAATTAGCAGCAAAATCTCTTTGAAACTTTAATTGCTCAGTACGGACTTTATGTTGCTACAGCACAACATTTTTTAGAGGCATGCCTAGTGCCGCAAGTTAATTATTAATGCTGATTGGAATTGCTGGATTCTTTTGACATCAGCATTCGGATTTTCATTAATTAAGCACAACAATCATCTCGAAACATAACAGTCCAAAATATTGTGGCATTTAGTGGACCAAATCGGAGTAGAGTTGGCGTCTATTAAAGACATCTGAAAAACTATGGAATGAGAATGATTTTACATGATTTTGGGCCAAAACCTCTCCCATTTCAGATCTCGAGGCCATTACCGCAGCCATCACTTCCAATCCTGCAACCTTCAGTGTCTTATGAGAGCCAAAAGGATGTAATCCATTCGGTTTTACAGGTAAGTGGTATTGGTGATCCTTACGAAGCATTATTTGGTTACTAGGACAATCAACTTAAGGGGGTGTAGAATCACAAGTTTTAAAAATTTTCTCTGAACCTTTGGAAGTCGACCTTCAAAAGTTGAGATAGTAGCATAAAAATCATAATTTGAGCTGCATATGACTCTTTTAACCGCATTTATGCCAAGTAAATATTATATACAAAATACTGAAGATTGTTCACCTACAGAAGCATAAGCTTTTATCGTAAAATTCCTAATCATGCGTTAAAAAAGAAACAAGAGAGTTCTAAAACTACTATTAGCTGCTAACATACTCATTTCCACGTTCACATTTTTGTCTCCATTTTGGGACAAGTTGATATTTGGTACACTCAAAGTATAAGTGCAGCAAATTCGTTTTTAAGATTATGCCAATGTTAGTCTCTGTCCGTAGCCAAAAGATGCAGTTGTTCAATCGCAAACTGTTCAGGGATCCTCACAACCACCTAATCGCCGCATAGTGAACCAAAATGTACAATCACGACAGCCGCTCAACGATGTGATGGGTCCAAACCCAGGTGTCTCTAATCCTGGCTTTGGTCCCCCTCGGCATTTTCCCCCAACCCCTGGAGCCAAGGTTGACGGTCCTCAGGTGACCTCAACTGGTGACAAATACGGTCTCTTTCGTATGCCCACGTCTGAGGCAGAATATAACAGTTGTGAAAAACGCTTTGATTGGTTGCAATCAGAAAAAATACACTTGGAAAACTCATTGAATAAGCTGACTATGGAAAGTGTTGGCGTAGCTTGTGAACGAAAACAGCCTTTAGGATTCAGGACGTCAGTGGAAGAGGTACCCTTTTCTGCGCTCGTACAACTTACACATGCCATTCGCTCATCCCACTGTGCAAGTGAGATCGAGATTTCCTCCATTTTTCTCTTTGTCTTTTTAGTCCCGTATTGCTAATGCACTTGGTCAAATTGGCCGCGAAATGTCAGCTTTACGTCTGGTGATGAAAAAATATACCAACGA